ATTCTGAAAGTACACTCTTAGACCTTTCGTTTGAGCCCCCCCTCAACCCCGAACCCTTCTTCATTTTTTTACAGTGGCCCATTTTATCGGAAATTTTCCTAAAGTCACCCTAAACATTTTCAGAAAATCGGAAAAATTCCCATCTCCGAAATTCTTTTTGCCTATATGGTCCACATATTCTGAAAGTACACTCTTAGACCTTTCGTTTGAGCCCCCCCTCAACCCCGAACCCTTCTTCATTTTTTTACAGTGGCCCATTTTATCGGAAATTTTCCTAAAGTCACCCTAAACATTTTCAGAAAATCGGAAAAATTCCCATCTCCGAAATTCTTTTTGCCTATATGGTCCACATATTCTGAAAGTACACTCTTAGACCTTTCGTTTGAGCCCCCCCTCAACCCCGAACCCTTCTTCATTTTTTTACAGTGGCCCATTTTATCGGAAATTTTCCTAAAGTCACCCTAAACATTTTCAGAAAATCGGAAAAATTCCCATCTCCGAAATTCTTTTTGCCTATATGGTCCACATATTCTGAAAGTACACTCTTAGACCTTTCGTTTGAGCCCCCCTCAACCCCGAACCCTTCTTCATTTTTTTACAATGGGGTATTTTATATGAAATTTGCATAAGGCCGGCCGCAATTTAGTTCTGCAAATTGGTGGCGCATTGTCAAATACGCTCACATACTGCGCACAATTCTGTTCTGCAAATTGTGGCACATTCTCAGTTACGCTCACACTTTCTCTCTCTATCTCGATTTAGTTCTGCAATTTCGCATTCTCTCACTCTCTCTGTCTTAACCCTATGTGAACCAGCGAAAAAGTTTGGTGGTTTGTGTCTTTGCTAGTTAAATTTTAAATTTATCTTCACGGAACATGCCAAATGGTTTTTTCCACGGTTAAATACGTTCAGATTTACATATAGCTCCCATATATGATTTTGCTCGATTTCATACACATGATTGACATTCAATTTTTCATATTCCTTTTTTTTCCTCCAAAGATGCTATGTCTATTTTATGAGCATCTCTTGTATGTATCCAAAGTGGTGATGGGTATCATATAGTCGGCCCATTCGACTTTTAAACATTCCTTACTGGTTACACATTATTGTAAGACATGGTTCAAAACCTTTCAATTGTATATACATACATAGCACAATCACAATTTGAATTCTCTTGTGATCGTAACCTTGAAACTTGTCACAATTACTACTTCTCGATTTTTTGTCGAACGTAATCATTGGATCCATTTGCAATTAAATGAAACTATGTTTTTCAATATTTAAGTGTTTATTTCGATTTTTTGTTGTTGTTTAATAAAAACTTAAAAAAAAATATTTTTACTAAAATTATGCTTACTTTCTTTTTTCATATATTGATTTATAAAAAATCAGTGCTTAAATATTTTCTAATTTACCTATGGCTTAGTAAATCTTAATAAAATTACACAAATTAGCAACAACAAAATAAGTGCTCGATATTTATTTTATAGTTATTACAAATTCAAATAAATAATTATGAGAAATAATATAAAGATCTGCATACTAATATTAAATATTATTTACAAAATTACGTTATATTTAGATTCAAATTCTTTTTAGTCCTTTATTTTTTGTTTATAGATTTGAAATTTATTTTATCGAAGAGTGTAGTTTATATTCGTTTAATATTCGAACTTCATAAAGGCATACTTGTTTGTATTTTTGAGTTTTATATGATTCGGACTATAGCTGTTTATGTATTATTTTTTTAAGGATATTTGAATTGTTCATTACAGTTCATTACATTTTGAGAATATTTTATACTAGTTATTAACGCAAATATTGAAATATAATCTATCAAATAATATGTCAACTAAATAATAATACTAAGGCACTATATTATATAGACTATGAAATGAATGGTACTTAAATCAGAGTCCGTGGTGGTCCTCCCATATAATTGTGTTAAAATGTAATGGGACTGTACTCTTGAATATGAAAACAGTTAGTAGAACCTACTCTGTAAAAATTGCTCTAGGAAACCTTCTCAAAGAATATTAATTTTTAAGGGTACCCAAATGCCTATAGTGACTATAATTTGTTTTTCAAAGTGCCTACTTTGAAAAACACCAAAAAATATTATTTATATGAGCCATATAGTAATGCTCTTAAATGATTTCTCAAAGAAGACCCAAAAAGAAAAACTATTTTCAAAACCGCAAGTGTTTCTTCTCACATAATCTGAAGATAAAAAACACCCAAAAAATTTTAAATTTGTACGCAATGAAAACACAGTTCATTTCAAATAAATTTTAATACCGTCAGTAAGCAGAAGAAAAATACTAAGTTTTAATGGAACCATCGATTGGAAAATAATATTCAGAATTTAGTGATTCAAATAAAATTTTAAAAATAGAAAACGGAATATGTCAGTTCAAATCACATTGAAAATTGTTTACTACTCCCAGTATATTTGGTATTGAAAATGGAGTATATGGTTCCACCTTTTAACCCCGTATAGGCAAATGATTTTCAGAAATTCGAACTGTGAAAATCCAAAAAGTACTAAATTTTTCGAATTTCGTAGAACGTGAGCGGATAGAGCTAAAAACTTAAAATTTGGAATGCGAATCAATGTTGAGATGTAGGGTCGACATAAGGAGGTAGTTTTGAAAGCGTGTAATCATGTATACGAAAAGTACTAACTGTACTAAATTTGGTACGGTTTGAATTTAGAGCACCGGATGAAATTTGATATTAGCATTACCGTCGGAGCGTAGGATAGCGATATGTATGTATTTTTTTGGAAATATGTACTTATGTGCACGAATGTACTAAATGTTAGGTACTATATTTGGACAATTTGGATTTTGAGTGAAACGATAGACCTAAAATCCTGGAATTTAAAGTTAGGGTCACTGTTAAGATGTAGGATTGGTGTATTTAGGAAGTTTTGGAAAATTGTACTCATGTGTACAAAATAGTACCAAATGTGTATTTGGGTGAACCCATAGAGCTAGAGCACTGAAAGTTGGAAATGAGGTTACTGTTGGAGTGTAGTTTTGGTGTATTAGTACCGATTGGGGTACTAAATTTGGTAACATTTAAATTTTGGGTGAACCTATAGTGCTGAGATTCTGAATTTATTATTGAAAAAGTGATAGGATGTTGCAGAAGTTTTGGAAGATTGCACAAATGTGTACTAAATGATACCAAATGTGGATTTGAACCGATAGAGCTGGAATCTTAATATTTGAATTTGGAAAATCATACTAATGTGTTCTAAATGGTATACAATTTATTGAAGGATCGGGCTGGAATCTTGAAATTAGGAAATTGGGTTTCTATTGGATTTGTATTAATGTGTACAAAATCGTACTAAATTTGATAAAATTAATATTTGGGTGAACCTATAGAGCTCAAATCATGAAATTTAGAATTAGTTTTGGAAATAGGTACGGTAATAAATGGTACCAAAATTAGTATAGCGCTAGATTTGTGTTGCGATGGGATGTGTTGAAGCTAATTTTCAATATTGGTGTGTATATTGATTAGCTTTAGACGGGCATATTTTAATATAAAATTCGGATTATAAAGATACTTTCTTTTTATTAAAATCGTACCGAATTTTAATAAAAATATTACCTGTTATATTCAATGGCCCTTGACAAAGTGGCTGAACTTTGACCGCCTGGTTTTTTGGTAGGTGAAACACTTGTATGAGGAAAATTTACAATATTGGTTTTTGTTTTGATATAGCGTCTATATAAAAGTCCTGCTCCTTTAGAATATTGAAATGAGTCCTTGTTGCATTTTCCAACAAAATTGGCTCTGATTTGGCATTCTGGGTGCTAGCCCAATTTTCCAACTAGACTATGTTTATGTTAGTCGGATACAAACCCTCTTGGCATAATCCCGCATATAAGAATCCCGAACAATTTTTGGCATTTTGAATGAGCGCGGCCAAACATAACCCCATTAGCACTGTATTTCTTTAAAAAAAGATTCTCAAAATGTAATAAATTAAATTTCCCTTTCTCCAAAAACACACCCAACCATATTGAAACTTTCATTGAAACCTCTAGGCTTTGGAAATTCATAAAAGGCAGTTATTGGATTTTTTCATAATTGTTTTTGTTTTTCTATTTAAAAATCACTTTTAATAAAATTAAGGCTTACATGGTCAATACTTAAATAATTTCTTAAAACTATTACAAATAATTATTATTTTACAAAACAATAAAATTTATCATAGCTTAAATTATTATTAAAATAGATGGTTGTTGTTTTTGTGTTTGTTTGTTTGTTTTTCTTTGATCTAAGCAAATGAAACGAATCGAAATGACAAATTTTTAGAAAATTTCTCATTTACAATTGGTTTTTCACTAATCTAAATGGAAAGTTTATAATTATTTTATATATTATATTATGTTTATATAAGAACAATAATTGTTTTAACTTATAAATTAAAAAGAATTAATATTACAACTAACAAACAAAAAAATAGTATGTACAAAATTTTTACTTAAAAGAGGTGCTTAAAAAATGTGTGTATCTATGTGTTTATGTGTAGGTTTTAAATTAAGTAATTGGTTCGATTTTTGTTACATAATAAAAAATTAGCATATTGTGTAGATTAAACCCCCCGTAAAAATGGCACAGGTGAACAAATAATAAAAAAATACATTTTTTCAACATGTGGGTGTCTTGTAGCATAGGTTATGTGAAGGAATTGGATAAAGTTATTGATTTTTTTTTCTGTAATTGGGAAATTGGGTTGTATAAAAATATGGCTTCCGGCTTCTAGGATTTGTTTTTCACGTTTTTCTCCCAATTAGTTAGACCCTTTCTACAAAGAGCCCCAGTCTATAACACAGGCCTCATGGTTGTTCATAGTATTATTACAACTATTATAGTTGTAATTATTATTGTTATTATTATTACTATTGTTGTTGTTATTATTATTCTCCTGTTGCAGTGCTAGCCAAAAATCATATGTATCACTATCCTTTTTATTCGTTTTGCTACAGCATTTTATGGGTGGTTCAGCCACTACTGGCTTTAGTTTTTGTTGTTGCATCAAATCCCACCCAACTGTCCCTTCTTGTTAGAAACCATGATGATTATTTTTCTGTGATGAATTTAAGAATGGCTTCTCCTCATTCATTTTTTCCAAATTCCCGCTGAGCGTTGGATCGGGCCTTCTTCGCTTAAAGAATCCACATTTCCACATGGCATAGGTGAAGAGAGCCAATAGCAGCAGCCCGCCAATAATGGCCAATATAATTATCCATAGCGGCGTTGCTGTGTCGCGCTGTTGACCGCTCAGTTCGGGATAGGCACGGGTTTCCACCTGAAAGGAATAGAAAAAAATGAAATTAAATTAATTTTGAGAAAATAATAACACAAAGAAGTAAATAATATTCAAAAATTAAGTTCCAGACAGTTTATGAACATTTAAAAAAAAACGAAATAATAAAAAAATTATATTTGGTCCTTCGACCAGAGTAATTTTCCTCATAACCAAAAAAAAAAATCAACCTTATAATATATATAGAATTTTTTTCTAAGATTCGTTCCTCCCAAAGGTCAATAGGTTTAAAATTGTATTTCTAAATATTCCGAATTGTTATTTTTCATTCACATTTCAGCATCTGAATTTTTGGTCCTTCGAGCAAGGAGGACTGGTCTGTAAACTATTTCGTCAAACCAAAGCAATTAAGTACGTGTTAAATCAGACAATCTGTGCTCTAAATAAATCCTCCTGATCCCCAGAAATCCTTTCAAAATTGCGAAATTTTCTATTATTTACCCCTAATATATATTTGTCATTGTTGGTCCTTCGAGTAATATTTTATTTCGATACATTGCATCACAAAAGACACTCGAATATCTGAAGAATGAATTTCCCGAATAAAAAAGCATTTAATTTCGCATTTCTAAATATTCTGAATTGTTATTTTCATTCGCATTTTATCATCTGAATTTTTGGTCCTTCGAGTAAGGAGGTCTATTTTGTCGAACCAAAACAATTAAGTACATATTAAATCAGACAATCTTTGCTCTGAATAAATCCTCCTGATCGCCAGAAATCCGTTTATTCCCCTAATAAATATTTGGTCCTTCGAGCAAGCTATTTCTGGTCCTTTAAGTAATATTTTATTACGATACATTGCAACCTGAAGACACTCGAATAGCTGAAGAATGAATTTCCAGAATAATAATGCACTTAGTTCTGCATTTCTAAATATTCCGAATTGTAATTTTTCATTCTCATTTTATTATCTGAATTTTTGAACCTTCGAACAAGGAGATCTGGTCTTTAAACAATTTCATCAAACCAAAGCAACTAAGTACATATAAGATCAGACAATCTATGCTCTGAATAAATACTGCTGATTGCCAGAAATCCGTTGATTTTCCCTAATAAATATTTGGTCCTTCGAGCAAGCAATTTTTGGTCCTTCGAGTAATATTTTATTTCGATACATTCCAACCTGAAGACACTCGAATATCTGAAGCAGAGATGGTCCGTCAGAAACAGTGACGTAAATGACATACATTTCCGACGTATAATACATACGTCAGAAACGTCGGAAACCCCCCAAAACCATTAGGTTTTTGACAAGACGTTTACTACATTTATTACATTTTATACAAGTATATGACGCTTTCGACGTTTAAAACTTTTTGACAGTCGAAAACCTAAAAATTCGTCAAACGGACCATCCCTGATCAGAAGAATGAATTTCCTTAATAATAATGAATTCAGTTTCCCATTTCTAAATGCCCCGAGTTTTTATTTTTCATTCAGATTTTATCATCTGAATTTTTGGTTCTTCGAGCAAGGCGATCTGGTCTTTAAAGTTTTACATATTAAATCAGACATTCTATGCTCTGAATAAATCCTGTGATCTGAATAAATCCTCCTGATCGCCAGAAATCCGTTTAAAACTGACGTATTTTCTATTATTTCCCCTAATAAATATTTGGTCCTTCGAATAAGCTTTTTTGTAATTTTTGGTCCTTCGAGTAATATTTTATTTTGATACATTGCATCCTGAACACACTTGAATGAATTTAGTTTCGAATTTTAAATATTCCACACATTTCAACATCTGAATTTTTGGTCCTTCGAGCAAGGTCTTTAAATTATTTGGTCATACCAGAGCTATTAAACCAGACAATCTGTGCTCTCAATAAATCTTCCTGATCACCAGAAATCCGTTTAAAATTGCGGTATTTTCTGTTATTTCCCATAATAAATATTTGGTCCTTCGACCAAGCAATTTTTAGTCTTTGGTCCTTCGAGTAATACATTATTTCGATAATAATGAATTTTGTTTGATGAGAAAGAAATTTATATCCTATTATAAATTTTAGAACTTAAATGAACCCTAAAATCATTCTAGAGAACATATTCATAAACCAGAACCATGTCAATCTTAAATAGCTTCCGATTTGTCATTCGATCTTTCATTTAATCACATTTTTCAACTTACCGTTAGTGGCTCTGAAGTTTGTGTCTGCTCCACACTAAATTCTTTGGGTATTTCAACATGCGCCGTTGAAATAATTCGCACAGCATCCGCCCGTGGATGTTCCGATACCAATGTGGAATTCCAAAGTCTTGCTTTAATGTGAACATAAGCCTCCGTATTAGCTGGCATATTATAGATATCACATTGTATCTTAATACATTTAGCTGTAGCCTTGGTACAATCCAATTCAACAATATCACGTTTTTTATTCTTATGATCACCACGGAAATCCATAAAACGTTCAGGGCGTATAATACGTGTCAGTGTATCACGGCGTAAACGATTCAAAATACCCGAAGAGGATTCTTCACTCGTTGACTCTTGTTTACTACTGCTATATGTCGATTTTTCCATATACATACGATGAGCAAATTGAGTTTTATTCAACGGTCTCATCATATAGGAGGCTGGTGCTAGCAGTAAATCATCGACTACCAAATTCGTTTTCGATTTCGTTTGTAATTTAAGCGGATTTATATATTCGGAGGCGACAAAACATTCACCATTTCGTACATTATCGATAATTGGCATTTCTTCCAGATATAACAGCCATTTGTCACGTTTATCTTTTTCGCTATGGATTTGATAGGGCCAGTAGATGGTAAGCTGAACTTTAGGCGCCTTCCAGGGTCCTTCGTTGTAGATCTGTAACCATGGGAGAAATAAAATAATATAAATTAGTAAATTGTATAAAAAACATATTTAAATAAAAAATAAATATTTTAAAAATAACAAAGAAGAAGACACAAATATCTTCATATTCAAACAATAATTTGGTCCTTCGACATGCTCGCTGTGGGATATTTATTCTATTATGCACTGGGTAGACACCTAATGACACATATTGAATATTCTGATTTGGTCCTTCGTTCATGTTTGTACTTCCGCAAATGTATGAAATATTTGGTCCTTCGAAGTAATTCGTCTTTTCTCAGAAATCTCATATTTAATTGCTGTCCAAGGTGTATCTAATTTTATGCAGACATTTATTGACATATACACATCTAGACATTTTTTAAATAATGCTTTTGAAGGAATCAGAAAAATGTTAAAGAGTTCATTTGATACAACTAGTGAAATATTTGGTCCTTCGATTTAATTCACAAGCTCTTCGAAATTAAGAAGTTAGTCTGATTTGGTCCTTCGAGCTAGTTTTCATTTCAAAAAATTTCTGAAATGTTTAGTCCTTCAAAGTAATTCTCCATTTCTTACAAATCTCATATTGAATTTCTGCTCAAAGTATATTTAATTATGTTTTTGTAGGGACCAGAAAAATGGCAAAGAAAATTTATTAAGAAGAGCTACATCTCAATGATCAGCAGTATTCAATTTTTTTTTTTACATTTTGGTGTTTTATTGGTCCTTCGATCAGTTCATTCCGAGCCAACAATTCATCATCAGACGTAATTTTTATTAAATGATTATTCAAATGGATGCATATTTGGTATTATTTCGTCAGATCAAAGCTTTTATTCTAAATGTCAAATAAATGATGAAGGAATTATTAAATGGATATTCGGCCCTTCGACCATCTCTTGTGTAAACATTTTTTCCTTCGATCAGCTCATTACTGAGCTCAGATTTTAATAATCAATTTCTGTTAGATTATTTTCAGAATTTAAATTATTTATTGTGCTCACATAGTGACTTGTGGTTGATTTTTGAACCATGAGCTATTAATTTGTCAAGCATTTTTCCCATTGAAAAATTTGGTCCTTCGAGCTAGTTGTTATGTCCTACAAGCTAGTATCTATAACGTGATAATGAATGTAGCAATGCTCAAATATATTTGGTCCTTCGAGCTATGATTTTCATTGAAAAAATATTATTTTTTCCAAAGGTGTATGGTATATTCATCCAAATAATCAATTGCAGGAATATTTGGTCCTTCGAGCTAATTTATGAAGTCAAATATCTGAAGTTCCCTTTTTGCAATTTCAGGCATTATGTTTTTTTTGAAGAATGTTCAATCGGAATTTGTTAATGTTGGAAATAAAAATTACATCATAGCTTAGTTTTTGTCCTTCGATCTAGTATCCGAACATCGAAGTAATACTTGATAAATCTTAAAAATATTTGGTACTTCGAGCAATGATTTTTTAAAACAAATTGGTGTTCTTTTCAAATACATTTTATGAATGAGCCATACAGTTTTGGTCCTTCGAACTGGTGTTTATATGAATCAATTGAAGGCGTATTTTGGTCCTTCGAGCTAATTCATAAAGTCAATTATCCGAAGAATTTTCAGTGATTTGTTATGCGATTTTTTGGAGAATTATTCAATTTTTAGAACATCTTCTGTGGCTCAAAATCGAGTAATTTTAAAATAATTTTCGGAAGCTACTTCGAGTTAATAGTATTGAATTTGTTTTAATATTGTTATTTCTTACCTGATATGTGTGCATAACTTGTGATCCGATATCTTCCATTGTCATCATGGTGCTATCCAAACGCATCTCTCCACTATAGAAGCTCTGTTCGGGACGGGCCCAACCTTGCAAGCTCAATTCAGCTCTCTTTATGACACGGACATCCAATTTCTTTTCCGGTTTCTCTACGCCTACCAACCTCGATGTGGTATTGGCAAAGATGTCGAATGTCAAATTACGTTCATCCAACTCCAAACCACTGGGATCGAAACGTATTGATACCTGGGCTGCGGAGCCGCGGCGCATGGGATTGCCAAGACTGCAGGCCACCACAGTTTCATTGAAGCGACTGCAAATGGCGGTGCTCTGGAAATGCGAAACATATTTTTTATTACAAATATTGAATAGGGGTGAAAATTTATTTTCCGAACTTACCGTCTTAATGGCTGCAATATAGGACACACTCTTTTGATGCACAATAAACAATTGGGTTTCATAGGCAGAATCGGCGGTATTGCTGACATTTACATTGACACGAATTTCCTCCTGTTCACCCAAGACCAAGGCATAATTTTCGTCTGCAATGGAAATTTAAATAAAAATTAGTTCTCCCTCAAACTTCAAAGGGAATTTCTTTTTTCCAATACTTACTCTCCATATTCAAATCCAATTCAGCACTCAATTTCAAATTACTTTCACAGATATCATCTTCGCCACAATCCTTTTGGAAGGTACCCTCAAATTCAATATTCGCCTGAGTTTGATCCAAAATAGGATTTAAACCCTTCAGTCCCGAATCGGGTAACTTCGTTTCCACCAAGGTATAATTCAGCTTAAATTTAATTGGACTTTGTATGTCGCGGGTATTCTCCTTAATATAACCTATCACCCGATGACATGACAAACCACCATCCGTCTTCACCGTGACCTCACGTTTGATGACATTGCTGCGTTTATTTTCACGATCAAAGAACACACGAGAGAACTTCTTGTTGGGGGCAAATGTCTCAGCCTCTACGGTAAACATCAACTTCAAATCAATATTCGCTGCCGTCTCCTCGTAGGGGTCAATGGAACAGCATGCCTCAAAGGTAAAACAGGTCAAATTGCTAAAGGCATCCGACAGGCAACCACTTTTGGTGGGGTCAATATTTTTCAATTCCTTTCCCCTCCACTTCGTTTGTATGCTAATAATGGGTCGGGACAATAAAGCCACCACCGCGGAGGAGTTATAGGCTCCAATCACAACATCAGGATAGGAATTACCATCCAAATCGGTACCTCCTGTAATAGAGCTACCAAAAGTCTTAATGGCTTTTGGCATTAAACCCAAATCGGAGGCCTGTATTCTCTGCGATGGCTTGGCACTCAATCCCGTACGGCTACCCAAATAAATATAGACCACACCATCATCCTCATAGGGAGCACCAATAGCCAAATCTTCACAATCATCCTTGTTGATATCACCAATATTGGCCAAGGCCAAACCAAAACGACTTTCAAAGGTACCAGTCAGCTTCAGGGTATACTTGTAGGGCAACATATCATTGACATTTTGATAAACATAAACCGCTCCTCCTTCCGATTTGTTGAAATAGAATGGTGCCGCCACAATGAGGTCAGGTTTCTTATCTCCATTCACATCGGCCGTTGTCATTTCATAACCAAAACTCGATGCAAATTGTTCACCTTCGATAACCATGTGTATGGGGATGGGATTACGATTATCTTTATCGAATATCACCACCTGACCATGGCCATTGGCACGAGGTGCTCCCGCCGCATATGACATGTGTTCACCAAAATAACGTCCTCCGGTGACAGCCATACCCAAGTAGCTGTATTTATCGATCGATGAGGTATCCGAATGATCACCATAGTACATGTTCTTGTCACGCTCCAAATATTCACCACCAATTTCGGTGACGAAGACGGTACCACGCCAGGTATAGGGGCCAGGGGTTCCCAAGACCATGGTATTATCGTCCAACAAGGCTCCTGAGGTACCAGCTTGACAAAACCCGTAATCTTCATGGGCTCTGGAATATAGAAAAAATAGAACAAAATTAAAATTAGATTTAGGCAGGATAATTCTCGAAAAATTTATATATAAATGTTCCGATCCGCAATCGTGGATATTTGAGGTATATAGGTACTTTTTAAATACTTTTAACACATTTATAGTCCATGATGTTATCATTTTAAATAATAATTTTTAAGAGTAGCATCAATGATTTTTTTAAAATAATTTATGCAGGATAATCCAGGATATTTCTAGTCCATGATGTTGCAGCTTTAAAAATAATTTTAAGAGTCGTTATCATAGACCTTTTTTTTAATAACATATGCAGGATAATCTATGTCCTTTTTTAATAACCTTTAGTCCATGATGTTGCTGCTTTAAAAATAATTTTTAATAGCCATAATCATGAACTTTTTTAAAATAATGTATGCAGGATAATCTATGTCCTTTTATAATTTATTCCTTAACCCACTTCTACTCAATGTTGTCGTTGTTTTTGTTTAGCTTTTCACCTGAATGTGTCATTGTTTTCACGCATAACTTCTTTCAAGCTTTCCTTAATGTAGAAACCACACATTTGTTATCTATCTGTATCCTCTATTGCTCCTCCGCACAAGGACGTCTCCCCCACAATTATGCTAATAATGTCACACTTTGTTGTTGTTGTCTTTTCTTTCAAAATGTCATAATCGCACGCATGGTTTATTTTTGTTTGTCAGGAATTAAATTCCTGTATGGAAATGACTTCTAAACATGCAGTCCCACTTTTGAGTTTTTGGTTTTATGGTTTAAAAATCCTTGACCCAAAAAAAAATTAAAATAAATTTCGATTTGAAAATAGATAATACTTTAAAAGGAAATAATTTGAGGGGGCAATTTTATATAGGTCAATGACCATAACTCTTTCTGAATATTTGAATATGCTTGATAAAATTTAAATAATGTTTTAAATAGTGCAGATTTCAATAAGAATGAACTCTTTTGAGTTAGGTTGCCACTGGGAAAATGTGAAGAAAAGTGTAGCATACTTTTAGGAACTCATATTTACAGTGACTCGCATACTGGTGGGTGCGTGCGTAGGTTAGAAAACTAAAGAAAAATACTTTTAATTAAATAAATCAAAGAAAGTAAATTGTTTTCGAAAATAAAAATAATTATCCAGACTAAATAATACTTGCTTTTAAAAAATATATTTGTTAAGTGGTCTTGATATTTGCAGAAAATTGAAATGAATGCATAAACTATTTGGTCCTTCGACCAAGACTCTTTGATCTCATATTTCATTGCAACTCAATATATTTGGTCCTTCGATCGATCACCTTCTTCTGTATTGCGTCTCTCCAACAAATTCAAAATTCTGGATGGCTTTCTTCCTACAGATATGTTTTGTATTCACTAAAAACCAAAATTTCCTTACGTTCTGATGTCTTTAAATCCTTAAATACAATATTTAGGAGGAAGCATATGATGGAAGGAAATTGTAGATCAAGCTAAACCTAATCAGAAACAAAAATGTCCTCACGTTCTTAGGGTCTACACCTCTTTAATACAAAGTTTCAGAAAAAGCATATGATGGAAGAGAATTTCCAATGGAGCTAATGCTATCCAGAGCTGCAATCCTGCAGTCCGAGATATGTTATTCAATATTTTATAAAATAAGAAACGAAGCTTTTCTTCAGTAGACATTTGGTCCTTCGATCGATCAGCTCATTTCTGTATTGTTTTTTCTCAATCAAAATTCTGTGGACTTTTTTCCGACACATATGTTTTGTAGATCAAGCTATTCCGACCTATAATACGAAATATTTTATTCAATATTTCCTAAAATAAAAAACGAAGTTTCTCCTCAGTGGGCATTTGGTCCTTCGATTGATCAGCTCATTTGTGTATTGCGGTTCTCAATCAAATTCAAAACTCTGGGACATATTTTTTCTTACAATACGACATATTTTATTCAACATATGATAAAATAAGAAACGAAGCTTATCTTCTGTGATCATTTGGTCCTTCGACTGAACAGCTCATTTCAGTATTGCGTCTCTCAATCAAATTCAAAATATCTGGGACACTTTCTTCTTACAGATAAATTTTGTTTTTACTAAAAACAAAGCTATCCAGGCCTTTAATCCTAAAATACGAGATATTGTATTCAATATTTCCTAAAATAAGAAACGAAGCATTTCCTTACGATCTGAGGGTATTTAATTCTTCAAATACAAAGTTTTGGAGAAAGCAAAGGATGTAAAAGAATTTTCGATCGAGCTAAAGCCATCCAGACCTATCATCCTACAATACGAGATACTTGATTAATATTTCCTAAAATTAGAAACGAAGCTTATCTTTTGTGATCATTTGGTCCTTCGACCGAATAGCTCATTTCTGTATTGCGTCTTTCAATCAAATTTAAAATGCTAGGAGACTTTATTTTTACAGATAAGATCTTTAATCAGTTGCTCACGTTCTGAGGCTCTTTAAATCTGGAAATACAATATTTCGGATTGTAGATGAAGCTAAAGCTATCCAGACCTTTAATCCTAAAATACGAGATATTTTATTCAATATTTCTTAAAATAAGAAACGAAGCTTATCTTCTGTGATCATTTGGTCCTTCGACCGATTAGCTCACTTCGGTATTGCGTCTCTCAATCAAATTCAAAATTTTGGGTGGCTTTCTTCCTAAGGATAAGTTTTGTATTCAAGAAAAACAAGCATTTCCTTACGATCTGAGGGTCATAAAGTCTTCAAATACAAAGTTTTGGAAAAAGCAAAGGACGGAAAAGAATTTCCGATCGAGTTGAAGCTATCCAGAGCTGCAATCTTACAATATGTTGATGATTTTACAATAAATGTGAATTTGTATTACCGTTTTTAGTTTAATATTTTTTTTCTAATTAACTCCAAGACATTTAATAATGCCCTCAAAGTTTACTTCATTACCTCGAAGGGAAAGTTTCACTCCTTTGCATACTGACATACGGAGTGCCTAGCCCTATGGTAATTATTTTCTAGAATATACCTCTATAATCTGCTCTACCTAATGACTTTACAACATCAAGAGATACGTCTAAGAACATTTTGAACTTCATTTGAAAATATCTATAGTGAATGAACTGTCGAATTTACCCTTTTGAACCCATACTGCATTTCTATTAAGGTCCTTAAAATGTCGCAATTATCATTTAACGTTCTGATATCTCTTATTGAAATTGCCTTAAAAATCAATTGGTCACTTTGAAACACTGTAATATAATATTTAAGTAATTTACTTAAAAATGGTGCATACTTTTAGGAGAATTTTAGATACGTGGCTAACATATTTATTTCTGGAGAGAAGAATTTTGTTAATAATTATTTTACTTTAGTATAATCTAGGTATTAATGGACTATTTTTTGTTTATTTTTTCTTACGAAAATTCAAAAAAGTTCTCACGCTTTTCAAATTTCATAGCTTCACTAAAAGAAGCAGCAAGCCAAAAAACAATTTAATCTTCCAAAGATTTATTACACAAAAATCTGCTCTAAATCTACCGTAACTACTAATTATTACATAAATCGCCCCATCTTTTGTCAAATGATGTAACCTGGCCTACAATAAACACCATCTCCTCAATGGCCATTTAAAAATTATCCCACAGTTACTGCGAATACTATGGGAGATCATTAAAATGAATTTTATGTTGCCCCTTCCTTATCGGCTTTATTTTATCGCAAAAAAAGTAGCCGACCGACAAACCATAACATACAAATCTCAACAACAACCCGAGCAGAAATGTGTTAACAAAAATTAATAACTTAATTTATGTTTGGCTAAAGAAATAGAAAACCAAAAAAATACATAAAAAACCAACAATACAAACCTTTGCACAGTACGACCTTTACATGGCTCATAAACTTCATCATATGTCAGCTCGTTGGTCAGTACATAGCATAGACCTTGGCCATAACGATTATCGCGTACTTTGGTGATGTAGCGATGGGCGCACACCAAAACCTGGAAATTAGAAATAAAGGAGAATTAAAAAAATCAAATGTAAAATTCGGAATAAGTTTATTCATAAAGTTCATATAGATTTTATAATTTTTAGGAATCTATATAAAACTGAATTAAGGATAGATCTCTGAAAAATTTATGAAAATGGCCTTAGACCGAAATTCATAACCTTTAAGAACATGTTCATTAATAGCTTTCAGACAAAGTTGCATAAAAATAATGCAAATTTCATTAATATTATGAACTTAATTTTTTTTTTTGACATTCCAGAAAAAGCTCACAGAATAAGTGATTCGGAGAGAAACTATGTTAGTTTCGACATTTTGAGATAGAAAGGAAAATATGTTAATGTTTTTTTAAATAAAAATTAATTTATGATTTAAGAACAAAATTCCTAATAATTATGAACATGTTAATTGTTAAAATTTAGCGAATATATCGCATAAAAATGAGATTAAAATATCTTTCAAAGACTATAATTTTGAAAAGAGGATTAAGAAATAAATTCCCAATGTATAAGGAAATATTCATGGACTCCAGAAAATAAGTTACCCAGAGAGAAATCATGTTAAAGAGTTTGAAGGTTTATTGAGCATTTAAAAATAGGTTCTATGAACAAATATACAAATTACACAATCTTGACAATGAACAAAATGTTAAGAACAAAATTCTTAACATTTGGAAACTTATTCTTCATAAAATAAATTTATATTTCAACGATGTCAACACTTCAAAGACTATATTTTTGGAAAGAGAATTAAGAAATAAATTCCCAAAATATAAGAAAACATTCATAGACTTTGCATACAGGCTTTTAAAACATGTTCCTCAGAGAGAACCCATATTGAAGGGTTTGAAATAGGTTCTATGATAAAATGTCCTAATTGTATATTCTGGAAAATTATGTAAGTACAAAATTCGTAAAATTTTGAAAACTGTTCTTTAATATCTTTCAGGCAAAGATTTTTAAAATAAAGGCGTATATAATAAATATTATGAAATAAATATTTCTTTTAACGACTATCAGACTTTTTTCGGAGACTATATTTTAGGAACTTTTTCCTTACATTTAGGAATTTGCATTTTAAATGATTTCAAGTAGATGATTATAGAACAAATACGCCTTTCATAATTAGTATGAAATTAACATTGTTTTCCACGACATCAGTATATTTTCAAGAGTAACATTTTTGGTGGAAAGGATTATGAAATATTTTCCTAATATTCAAGAACTTTTTCATTAATAGGCTTAAAGGCTCATAAAATAAATACGTATTTCATTAATATTATGCAAATAAAATTTCTTTTCAAAGACTTTTTATTTTGAAAAAATTAAGGAAACACATTCCTAAAATATAATAACATGTTCTTGATTTTTAGGTCAATATTTCATAAAATGAATTACTAAAGGCTTAAAGAAATATTAAAATTACTACTTACCTTGCCACCCAATCCTTGACTCCGTACGGTGACACCCAGCCATTGATCCTCTTTGATTTCATCGTCTGAAGGTTCCATTAAAATCTCTTCATCGTCATCACTATCGTATGCTACACGATGATAATTACAAAATTACAGAGAGTAAGAGAGGCCGTCGAAAAAGCGGTAGTGAGAAGAGAAAAACAAAAAAATGATCAAATGTTAAAAATGATTGAATGCCATTTAAAATAAAGTAATGAGAGAGATAGACAGAGAGAGAGGGCGCTAACATTATTATGTTATGGTATTAAACATTTAACAGAGATGAGTTGTGTTTTTTTGTGTGTTGGAGTGGGGGTGTGGTTGTGTGGGAGATAATATTACAACATTTAACATCGAAAAATTATATATAAATTATTATACAAAAAATAAATAAAACATATTACAAAAATAATGATGATAAATTAAAATTTATGTAAATTAAAACCAAAAGAAAAATTTAGACAAATTTGTTTTTGAATAACATATTTTTAAATGGGATGTGGGGTTTGTTTTTTGGCTCGTGTGTTGGGGGATTTATGTTAAATTTACATGGGGTTTTATAATTATTCATGTGTGTTGGGGGTGTGGGGAAATGTAATTTTTTTGTGTAGGATATGTGTCATGTGGTGTGTGTATTTTCTATGTTGATTTTCTACAAAATGTGTATAGCGTATTAGGGTGTTACGAAGATTTTTTTCATTTTAAGCACGACTCGAAAGAGGAAAAACTGATTTAAAACTCATTCAAATGATCATCACCTTCACAGGCAAAATTCAAATAAATAAAAGATTTTAAATAATATAATAAAAAAATAGGTCTATAAAAATTATGGTTTTAATAAACATGAAGTATCAATTAACATTTTATTTAAAGAAAATTATATGTGATAATTTTAAATTAAAGTTAATTTTAATATGCTCTTTAATTTATTATTTTTTTTTTGTAAAATCTTTGCTTCGTAACACCCTAATGTTTATGTGTATAATTATTTTTTTTAATATACATATATTTTTTTTGTTTTGTAATTAGAACATCAATTTGTTACTTAGTGTGACATAAAAACATACATTTTCTTTTAATACAAAAATACTCAACTATATTCCTTGGACTAGTAGTTGAGTCAAACACTTAAGTTTTAATAGTTGGTTTCATTATATTTTTTATATATTACATACATACAAATTTTTATGTACATTGTACACAAAACAAACATACACTTATAACTAAATGTGCTGGTTTTTATTTGGGTTTAGTGCAAAATACTCAAGAGTGAATAAAAAAAAGAAGAGAAAACTATGAAATTAAAAGAAAAAAGTTAAATAAAATAAAAGTTCTTTAAAATTAGGTAATAGTTTAGAAAATGGTTCATAGAGATTATGTATTTGTTTAGGAATTTTTCTGTTAATGTTAAAAAAGTTTTAATTAGTATAGTTCGAATAAAAAGTAGACATCTTTTATATTCTTAAAAATGTTTTAAGAACAAAATTCGTAGGATTTAGGAACTTGTGCATTAATATTTTTTGATATAAGGTTTATAAAATAATTTCACACTTCATTAATATTTGAAAATGAAAATTCTTTCTACAAATATCAGACTTTTTTAAGATGTTTTAAGAACAAATTTCCTAGAATTAAGACAAAAGTTCATAAAGTAAAATTCCTTACATTTAGGAACTTGCTCAATAATAGATTTCGATCTAAGGTTTATAAATTGTAATTTTTTGGAAATAAATTCCTAAGATATACGAAAATGTGCATGGATTCCAGGGAAAAGGTTCATAAAAAGAATGAATATTTATTATATGTTTTTTTAATGACAATCTAATTGTTTTCGATGATAACATATTTTGTGAAAATGAATTAAGAAATAAATTCCTAAGATGAAAGAAATAGTTCATATTTTCAGGTAAAGATTAATTAAATTTACAACCTCATATTTTTAATTGTATTAGCGTAACTTTAGACAGTTCCTTACTTTAATGACTTGATTGTAAAAGGACTGTTCCGCTACTACATTTACTGACATGCTGGATTTACGAGAAGATTGGGCTTCGTGGGACTTGCATCGATTGTCTTTTGAAATCGATTTTTATAGCCATTTAAAGGCTGCTAAATTCGAGATAGCTGCCACGAAAAAAATTAAAATTGTGCTTGCTCAAGATCCGAAAAGTTACAAGCTCGGATTCCATACTAAAACAGGGCCAGCTGAGGGAAGATTGGTGTTAACATACGCTAATATTGTGCTATTGACACTTCAAGGACGCTTTGAAAGCACTGTGGAGAGAAGACTGAATGTGTACATGGAAATACTTCAAAACTACCTCAAGAAATGAGGACTTAAAAATCTCAATATTGATAATGCGTAACGCTGGTTTTCAAGAGCAAACCCACGAAGTCTACTGCGAAGAACATCCGAAAATATATCTCAACTATGAAAGTTGGATATGAATACATTTAAGTGTCAGATAGGTTGAAGTAGAACTTTGATTAATTCTGCACGATGTCGAAGGCCAAAAGATACCCAATGCTTCGAATCACTGTAGAAAGAAGGATGAATGCGTACACAAAAATACTTCATAACTACTTCACCAAATGGAGGACCCAAACTTTCAGATTAAAAATGTGTATCGCTGATTTTCAAGGATCTTTCCGAAAATATATCCCAAAATAAATATAAATGTCAGAGAGGGTGAAGTAGAACATCGAATTATTCTGTACGATAGATTCATTCGACTACTGTCGCCATGTGAATTATGTCCTGTCGAATGTCAAAAATATATCCCAGGCTTAGAAGCTCTGTGGAAGAAGGCTAAATGTGTACATGGAAACATTTCACAACTAATTCAACGTGTGGGGATTTAAGTCAACATCGAAAGATGCGTATAGCAAATCCCACAAAAATACATAGGTGATATAGAACATTGAATCAGTCTGCATGATAGATTCGACTTCTGTCGAAGGCCAAAAAATACTCAAGGCTTGGAAGCACTATGGAACGAAGGCTGAATGTGTAAATGTAAATACTTCGCAACTACTTCAACAAATGGAGAACTCAATATTGAAAAGTACGTATAGTTGTAATTACAAGCATACTTCAAAGAACTGCCGAAAATATATCCCAAGTGTAAAAATTGGAAATTAATGCATATAAGTGTCAGAGATGTTGAAGTTGAACTTTGAATCATTCTGTACGATAGATTCGACGACTGTCGAAGGCCAAAAAATACCAAAGGCTTGGAAGCACTGTGGAAAGAAGGCTGAATGTGTACACGGAAACAATTCACAGCTACTTCAACAACACATCCGATTTTTATTAATACCTTTGAAGACCTCTTTAACCTCCTCTCGCGACAATTTTCTCCATTGTGATGACTTCACTTGTTATCTCCCCAATAAATTGCATTTGTCATTGTCATTCTGACCCATATATGACACATTAGTGGACGACACATCAAAACAAGAAAAGAGAAAGCTTTATCAAAAAATGAGATTTTAATATAAAAAGGTTTACATGAATGGAATTAAATGCGTTAATGACAATAAAGCTCGGTCAGCCATTCACATTATTATGAAAGTATAACAAGATTACAAACAAAATATGAGAACAATAAAAAACAACAACAATTTTCTAATTATGACCTGCTGTTTCGGAAAACCAGAAAAATGAAAAACACGCCGGTCTCTTAATAGACTCCCTAGCTAACAGTAGCCAATGGCGTTTGCTGCCGACACTTAGTGGAGTTAGATTCAGGTTAAACAATTGGAAAAAAGGGGGAGGGAGGCAGAGTGATCGTAGAAAAATTACTCTCTGACACATGCTGGGTACTTCGTGCAGTACTTTAGCTTGCAACATTCAACAGATAATAAGTCAATGGAGATAGCCCCTAGAGCGAAGAAATTTTAAGAGGTTGATGGAGAGAGAGAGGGAGAGAAGAGCGAAATTCATAAATTGAGGTAGTAGGAAAGAAATAGTATCGATCATTGTTCTATATATACAATGCGAGAGCTAGCACCCAACTGCAACCTGACCCGGTATCAAAGTATTAAATTCTCCCCATACCTCGGAACATTGTAATGTAATTTAACGGAATGGAAAATCAATCCATTGATTGATCAAACGATCGATGGATTGATTCGTTGACGACAATACAACAACACACGACAATAATCTCATGGCTGGCATCTATCTATCCAACGATCGTTCATTGATGGCCGTTTGACTTGAACGAAAACGACGACAGTGATCATATTGCTGATAGAAGAAACCAGTCAGGCAGTCAGTCCGTCAGTGAGCAACAAAACTCTGTCGTTACAATTGATTTTTAAACGATCAAATGTTGTTGTAGGAAAACAGACTTTTGTTCCATTTGATTAAATTTTTTTTACTTGTAACATAGTGTGTCTGGCTAAGTAAGCGTTTAACTGCATTTTATTTACGATAAGCAGCCATATAGTGTACATATGTGATATTTGAGATATGATTGTATGTAGATGGGCTAACTAACTGAAGGTGAAAAAAATTGGTTTAGATTGTCTGGGCTTGAAGTTTCTTTGTGAAATCAATGTTGCCCCGGGGAGAAATTGACTTTGGTGTTGTAGGAAAATCATTATGGTTGAAAATTACCATAAAGGTGTAAAGACTGTTAAAATAACGAGGGGAAGTGCAATAATGAGGGAGAATTTTCTGTAATCTTCTTGAAGACTATTTTTGAAATATTTGAGATATATTTTTAAAGAATATTTAATAACGACTTTTTCGTTAGGGGTCACTGATGAGATCATTATTATAAAAACTGTTTATATGTGACATACGTGGGCCACCTAAAAGAGGATTGCTGATATCATACGCTGATGAAGTGTTATTGACATTGCGGGGACGCTTTGGAAGCACTGTGGAATGAAGACTGAATGTGTACATGAAAATAGTTTACAAGTACGTTAACGAATGGGGACTTTGGGGACATTGGAAAAAGTGTATCGGTGTTTTCGAGAGCAAAACCCTAAGTCTACTGCGAAGAGCTTCAGAAAATACATCCCATCCATGAAAATTGAAATTGAGTGAAAATTTAAATAAATCTGCACGATAGAT